TGTGTGTGTGTGTGTGTGTGCGTGTAGTTCCTTCTCCAGTGCGTGTTTTTTATTTTTTAATTGTTGTCCCATGGACACAACAAAGCTGTTGGAGACATGCAGAGAGAACCGATCCAACTTGGCAAAGCTTTTCATCAAACTTGTCAAAGACTTCAAAGAGCAGCAGTGAATGTGACAGACAACATCATTCTATCGTGTCTGTGATCTGTGACAGGCGACTTTGTAGTTGAGAAGGAAATAAAGGGCAACAATGCTCAGGAGCTGTATCAAAACTAATTAAAGTGTTTAAGAGATGATATCTGGTTACAAATTAAAAGTTAACTTTCAGATAAATCAGTAGTTTCTCATTAGGTGAAGGTGGTAATATATATTCAAAATAGAATAACGAAAAATGAACCTGTGTGAATCATTAATAAGATCTTCTTTAGAATGGATGTTACTGAGTTTGAGTTGTTTGTGAGTCGAACCACGGCGTGAGGTGACGGAGCGAGACTCAGTCCAACAGGTGGCGTCTGGAGGTCGGTCTGCTGACGGTGCAACGGCAGCATCACTGCTGGGAAACACAAGGCGCCAGTTCTGAGAAGGACCCAACATCCCATCAAGCATCAGAAATATCAGCCGGCATTTCTGCAGGAACAAAAACAACGTGGAATATCCACAGTGGATTATCGAAGAAAGTTTAAAACCGGTTAAAAATCTCACTCCACCCGTCCGATGAGGCAACCGCATTAAAGTCATTATAAAAAAAACATGATCTAAATCTATCAGTGCATGTTGAACTGTTGAACACGGTTCTCTCTCCCTCTGGAAACTAGACGGTGGCAGGTCAAAATGTTCCCTCGCACCAGTTTTCTTACTTGACTTAAATAAATTGTACAAACTTGAGCGGAAGAATAAATATGTGAAAACAAACTAGTCTGTATTGTCCTGCGGTCTCACAACAAACACACACCTATCTTCCTCCTCCTGGTCCTCTGGTTGATGTTTGGGCGAGCGGTGGTTTAAAAAAACGAAACATGTTGAGCTATGTCGACAGTTTGGATGCAGATCACGACCGAGCCATCACTCCTAGACCAAACTGTCAAAGCGATTTATGCAGAACCACGACCGACTCTAATAACTCCAGTTAGTTTATCACCTGGAGCTGCAGGGAGGATCACACATTAATCACAGAATTATAACAACATTATCTGTATGAATTCCAAAGCTTTACTTTGTCATGTTAAATCTTTTTAGAACCTGGCGGAGCTCTGAGCCGTCCTCCTTCACATTCACCTCCTCATACACTTTCACACAAATTATTGTCGACCGCTACACAACAGTGTTTGTTACACGAGGAAAAATTCAGACTCCCAAAAAGTTTTTTGCGTAACTGTAAAAGATCGAATCTCGATTACATTTCTTTTTCTTAACGACATCTTAGGAATTGTTGCTTAATTTTCTTTTGTATTGGCCAATATATCTTTATTTGAAATATTTCACTCTTCCATATGTACACACAACACAAACTAAGAGAAAGTTGAATGTGGTTGTAATGCTCAGCTCAACATGTTAAATATGAAGCAAGAACCAGAATTGAGGATGTAACTTGATAAACAAGCACACACACATAAGAGAGTGGTCCATTCATGTTTGTCATGGTTGATAACAGCGTGTAGATATTGAAATTACCCAGCATTCTGTGGGGTTCAAACAGTGATGGCCTTGCCTTAAAATAGGAAGTGGGCTGTCGGCATGACGGAGCGGTAAGAGGAAGATTTGCTGTCACCACTTAAAGGGGAGAGATGAGAGGATGGAGCGGGGGAAGCTGTTGTTTCAGGCACTTTCGCATCAGCTTCACTTTCTCTGTGTGTGAACAAACATTTGGGTCGTCCCAGTACACGAGTCAACAAAATATGCAAACGTAGGTTCAAATTCAGATGATCATCAAATTCGAACATTTTATAACCTGTGGAAAATCTGAAAAACAAAATACCAACTGTTCTACGAAAACTTAAAAAACAGGGATTCGATTTATCAGTAAAGCAAACGATTCTAATTTTAGCGTCTTCCCTCTGGACTGAGACGACGATGTCATTCGGTCCCAGGTGGGGAGGCTTTCTTAGACATTTGCCATAACCCAGAGGCAAGAAGAGCTCACTGTCAGTCAGCTTCCAGGTGTGAAAGTGGAAGAATAAACTGTGAACTATTCAAACTGCTGCCCACCCTCCCTCTCTCTCTGTCACACACACACACACACACACACACGTACACTCTTTAGAATACCTGTTCAGCCAATGAACGTCTGGCCAGATTGATGGTCTGAGCTTGCGGAGCCTGAGGGCTGCCACACTGTGCAGCCATGCTGGGTAATGAAAATTCAGTGATGTGCTTGAATACTCTTTCAGTGTCATACAGAAAGTGATGGGGGGGATGTGAATGTGAAGCAGTATGGAGGCACGCGGTGTTTACCCCTGAAACTCCAACTCCTTTTTGGACTCAAACACTTCATCCACCCCTCCATTGAGATAATGAGTCAATTTTCATTTTTCTGTGAACAATCTCTTCAACCTCTGACCTTTGACATACAACGCCCGATGTGACCTCATTAAGAAAAACAAAAACTTTAACTGGCTCAGGGGCGACACAAGTGTCTCTGTGTGTCTGTGTGTGTGTGTGTGTGTGTCTGTGTGTGTTAAGGTACAGACAGGATCAGTGTGGATGATAAATACCATGTGACTGTTGTAATACATGAAAAACTCCGACCTAGGCAAATCTGACCTAAAGCTGAAGAACAAGTTTGAGCTTTTGAAGCAGAAATAATACATCAGTCTTATTTCACACACACACACACACACACACACACACAGTGCTCTAGCAGAAGATGAAAATCAAAACTATATCACCATCTAGTGGTTACCACAAGTAAAAGTACATATTTTACTGAAGAGCAGAAAGATGCAGGTGGTGAATCTATGAATCCTGAAATATGACTTTTTAATTCCAGATATTTAATAAAGCTCACGGGTTATTTATCTTGTAAATTAAATGAAATATGTGATTTTTCCATCTAAATGATGATAAATCATTGTTTTAATGTGATTTATGTAAATAAATAAAATAACCAGTAGCTGCAGGTTTCAGATGAATGAAGGTTTGCGTCAGTAATGAAGTATAAGTATGAAGAAGCATCTGGTGGAAAATCAGGTTAATGTGGAAACTCTTAAAAACAAGCAAACATGAGCTCAAACAATGTTAAGAGATGAAATCACAAGTTAAACCAGTTTAAAATAAATCAACCGGAAAAACAGGAGGAAACAAAACAAACTGAAAAAACAACTGTGGTTAGCATGTTAGCTTGTTAGCATGGTACTCACCTCCGGGAACATGGCGGCAGGAGAAACTCCTCAGTCACTGAAACCTCCCGAGGCTCCAGAGCTAACATGCTGTTAGCTTCTAGCTTCAGAAATGCTAACCGCACGTCAGGTGCTAGTTTCGCAGGTGAACCACGTGATTTTTGGAGGGCGTGGCTTCGACATGTTTTACCCGCCATACGGGAAGGTGAGTTTAGTCGAGGGAAGTTTTCTTTAATTTCAGCCTCAAATAATCCAGTTTAAAACTTCTACATGTGTCGTTAACATTCAACACACCTTTGTGTACTGCTTACATGCATTGGGAGTATTGTATAGCAGTAAAAATACCACAACTCAACAGCCGAACAGTTCTTTTTCCCATTTTAATACATTTTTCTGATGAGAGGAGCCGATTCAAGTCTCATCACCGACCTCACGATGTGGCAGAGACAAATACAGACAGGCTTCAAGAGCAGAGAGACAAAACACTGACCCAGATAAAAAAAGATTTAAAAAAAAGATGATCTCTGAAGGAACAAGTGTCAAATCCCTCATTTAACAATGTAGGGATGGAACCAAACGAGAACAATAGATGGAAGTCAGAAGAAAACCAAAGAAAGAAATGAAAGATTGATAAGATAAACGAGCTTTTCAACAATCAATCCATGGACTTTAATGGATTCTTCTTCTGTGAGACTAACAGGACATTGTTTGTTTTAAGCGGCTGCTAATTATTCACTACACAGAGGAAGTGAATTAAATCACATTTCAGAATGATTAACTGAAAACAAACTGATCGTCATATTCCAGATAAAGGAATAATAATGACAGTAAGAGCTTCACTCATAACAACCAGAGATCTAATGTTATAACACAAAGTTAAAATATAGTTTTTATCAAGAACGTGTGGTCACACTGTTGTTCTTTACAGAGACAATGGATTAAATGACTTATGTTTAAAGCAGTGATTCAACTTTCTGAAAGGCAGGAGTTTTTCTTTTTCTAACCAAAGTGCAGCGTTGAGGGTTCAAGAGACACGACAAGGAATCAATCTATCGATCAATTGATGGATTAATTGGCAATTACAAAGAACTCATAGTTAAAACATTCAGCAAACAATTCTCTTGTTCAAGTTTCACAGATTTTTTCTTCAAAGATATGTCAATCTGGGTTGCAAACGATTCAGTGAGCTGATTGAACAGGCAGAGGCAAACATCTGCTCCGATCAATTTGGAGTAAAACATCGAAAACTGGGCATGTAGCAGGAGCTGAGAGAAAAAACTGAGCAGGAAAAAACAAAGAGCACCTCCAATAAAAAACCAAACTTTATCAAAGACGTTACAGGTCTGACAGATGAGCCTTGCTTCTTTATATTTCTCCTGCCATTTCAAAATTAAAGAAATGATGATCAATAAGCACTGAGTACAGTTGTGTACGTACAGAAAATCAATCTTCCTCAACGGCTACTTTCTAATTTTTCTCACCTGGAGAACGTGCTGTGCATCATTTCAATTAACTCTAATTTACTTCAAAATGCGAACGATTCAGAATCAGCAACAATTGATTTTCTAAATGAGAGCAACAGCCACACAAAGAGAGAAATCAGTCAATACTTCAGTCAAATCTTTTTCCTTTGGACTGACAGAAAAATAACACGTCACAGCGCATCACCGAGTTATTTGGACCGACAGCTGAGACCGACTTGGGACTGTGCAGACTCTGGCTCCAAATGTCACGCGAGGGCAAGATGGCGGCGTTTGTTTCTGGGATGTTTTGGTGTCGTCTCTAAAAAGTGGGAGGAAGTGGAGACACGTGGTCCATCTTTATTTACACTCTATGTTTAAAAAGAACAAAATAAAAAACTAAATGACGGCTTGATGCCAAACTTCATAATTTTTGTAGGATCACACTTGGAGCAGAGAACTGCAGAGAATGGCTGAAGAATCAATGAGCAGGTGAAAACACAATCATTAAAGAATCTGCAAAAACTCAAGAGTGCAAATGTTGTGAATGACGGTAAACTTATTATGATGCTTCCATGAATAAACACAAAGACATGGAAAACAAAAAACAGCATTGATCAGGGTCACTTATGGAAGGAGCCACTTGTTCTGCACCGTCTCACCAACATCACAAGCTGGCGAAATTCACTCTCAACGCAGTGCTTCGAAAGATATAAACATTTGTACAATCTTTAGAAAAAGAATTCACATTGAATGTGCTCTGTCATCTGGAAACAGTTCATTCCACAACAAACACCTCAGCGACAAGGCGGTTCTCCCTCTTCCCTCCTCCCTCCTCAGTAAAACCTCTTGTTCCTCTCCTGTCTCTTCTGGAAAACCACAGCTCCCACCATGGCGCACACTACGATCCCCAGCAGAGCGCACAGCAGAAGCAGAAAGACCTTCCAGCCCGTGAGGGGCGTGCCCCGGAAGTTCCCGGTAGGATCGTCGATGTTGTCTGCAGAGGGAGAAGAAAGTGTTCACTGCTCGTCTGGTTTGTGGGTAGTTGTTTAAAATGATTTTTATTGGAACTGAAGGTCATTTAATTACCTTTAGGAGACTTTAGCAGACTCACACTGGGCTCGATCTTCGTCCAGTCCAGGTTCTCCTCCTCGGGTGTGTGTTCCACCATCAGCTGGTAGAGCTTCATGGAGATGATGTCATGGTTATCTGGAACAAAACATCAAGAGTTAACTGTTAGCAAACAAATTATACAGAAGAAAATCAAGACTCTTTTTCGTTTCTGTTTTCTGTCCGACCCACCAGACAGATCTCCTGTGGCTGCTGAGGCACCAAAGTAATATCCAGTGGGAAGACGAACTCCTCCGATGTCAATGCACTCCCTCCACTCATTCTTGTCATCGACATCAACCATCACCTACAGCAAACAAACTGGATGTAAGCGACCGCGCTGACAAGGTTTTAAACAAGAAAGCTTTCAGCTAAATTGTTTTATAATCATTATTAACTGTTAGGAATATATACAGCTCAATTCACCCAAAGGAACTCGATAAAGAGAAGCTACATCTTTACGTACAGTGAGTCGTCCATTCGAGTAGCGGATGGCGAGGTACGTGTCGTGCTCCCTGTTCCTGATCTCAGCCGAGCAGCCCCCGAGCTCAGACGACCGTCCATCTTTACCGTGGTCGTAACTCACCGAGCCATTGTTCACCATGGCTGAAATGAACGGGAAGGAACGCTGGAGACAGACAGAAAAAGAATAACAGATAAATCTGAAAAACTGTTTCATACGAATAATACATAAATAAAGATGATGGACAAGTGAAATGGAAAATAAAATCATATCATATCTGCTCATGCTTATAGGTTTATATACAGAAAGCTGCCTTCACAATGCAGGAACATTTAAGATGAATTCTTCAATAGTGCACGTATCAGATGTTTTGGATCAAAGGTAATTTTTTTACTGAAACAACTGACAACAACACAAAATGCAAACTAAAAGAAATATCGCACTGGTGAGATAATTTAAAAAAACTTTATACCTTTGTTTAAAACCTATGAGATTTTGATTGTGTGTATTTGTTTCAATAAACAAACAGAACAAATCCAGGTACATATTTGGTGAGTCTTAAGTCTTGAGTCTTAAATAAGATGGTGTCACATGATCATGTCGTCCAGATTCTCTTCACACAGAGTAACACGATGACAAGTTCAGTTACAGTGTGAAAGCAGCTCTGTGACAAGACAAGCTCTATCAGAGCAAACAGAAATGTACATGAAGACTAGAACTCGACTGATGGGGTTGATGCCGGCAATACATTAGGCTGATATAAATATTAAAAAGATGCTGTTATCAAACACTGTTATTTCATAGTTGAAACCACAAACTTAATTTTAAATAAAAAAGAAAATACAACTACAAACAATTATAGGGAACTTGAATTCTGATTTTTTCTTTTTATTCTGTAAAATAAATGTTTTCACACAAACAAATAAGATCAAATATCTTCTGTGTATCTGTGTGCAGATATTTTATCGGCCAACCAGTCGGGCTCTAATTCCAACAGTTAAAGTGAGGACGATGCAGTTTCTTCCAGATAACGATCATGCTCCATAAGTTCTGTGTTGTTTTTATTTGGCTGTAGAATAAAAAAAGCAAAACCAATACTGTGGGGTTTTCACTGTTAACATGCTTTAAGGTGGAACATGCCTGTTTAAAGTGATGAAAACAAAATCTGCACAGACAGATGAGTAACACCTGAGCAACCACTCACATCCGACGCATCGTCGTTAGAGTAAGTATCTATAAACACGGCCAGCCCGTGGAAGAGAGCATTGTTGGAAAACACAGGCCCTGCGAAGACACAAGCAGGTCAATCACCTAGAGCCACACACAGCACACTTACATCCATTCCATGGAGGTCATTGCGGAAGGTATCCAAAAAAAGAGCCAGGCCAAGAAACTGATCTTGGTTTCCAAACACAGGGCCTAGGATGGAGGCAGAGATGAGGCGAGACATGAGCAGACAACTTCAGACACTTTCTGTGGTCAGCACTGACAACAGCAAGCTGAGATGATAAAACACGACCGACCAGACATGATGGAAAAAAAAAAAATCTTCCTGATGGAGCGAGAGTGACGAGTGTTCTTTAACACTCGGAGCATTTCTCAGAGGGACATGACAGCAGGACTGGACCAATACACATCTTTGGATTTACATTTCTCAATCTGAGCTGGAGCTCTTCACCCTCTGTTCAATACAGATGAGCTTTATTTCTGTTACTCTCACTGGTCAGAGGAGGAGCGACACATGAGAAATGTATTTTGAGTAAATCCAAACATCAGCATTTTGTTGCATGAAGCTTTAACAAATAATGAATGAGATCAAGCTGAGTGACTCTTCCAACAGCAAACACTCAGCAAAAACAACCATGAGGATGAAACGCCGTCACTACCTGGATGCTGTCTGTCCTTTGTGTACCAGATGGCGATGCCATCGCCATGGAGATTCTTTTTTCCTGACCCATGAACTTTAAACTGCACGTGCATCTCCCAGTCCTTCAGGTAACAGGGCTGTGGACAAGAAACAGGAAACAGGAAATGAGCTTGTAAATAGATAGCAACAAAATTATTTGTCGAGAATTCTTCTTTAAAGCTGTCATTTCTAAAACAGGTTTAGCAATTATTTAATTTACACGCCACACAATTACTTCAGATTATCTTTTTTACATGTCACACACAGATCAACATAAATGACACCTCATTCAATAATAGATAAGGGATCGATAATAATTCCAGAAAATATCTATGACAGTAGATGAGAGATAATGTCTGTGTTTGTAGTTTATCCTCACCACAGTGTTCCAGATGGATCCCTGCTTGCTTCTCTCATCTGAGGTGAGTCGGACATATGAGCCAGTCACCAACGTGCTTCCCCAGAAATCCCACTGACTGCTCGCACTGCTGCCAACACCTGTGAGACAAACAGGTGAAATGCTTGTAGTCGAGACTCTCGTGGTTCTCACAAGGTTCACCTTCACTTGGTTGTCATGATACCAAAATATGTTAACTTCAGTCTAACGGCTTTAAAATCATGAATGAAGAAGTTACACGTTATTTTCTTTAAAATTACAGGAAACAACTTGGAATAAATATAAATTCATTCATGGATAAATAAAAGTGTAAAACATTTCTGTGTCTTGCGTTTGAATCTGAATGATGGGTGTTAATCTTTCTATAGATAAATAGAAGAAATATATAAATATATTACAATCACTGATTCATAACTTTCCAATAAATCTGCTGATTTAAATACTTTGTGTCACATTTAATGTTGTAATTTCTTATTCTCTAATCAGCAAATGTGAAGCTGAGGGCTGTTTGTTTTCTACTTTTACGCAGACGCCTTAAACAAACACGTCCGTGGCCTGTGGACGGGCTGAGGCCCCTTTGCACAGTTTGTCAGGACACATGTTTTCACTCGTAACTGCCGCAGGGTGTGGTGCACGGCTCAACCTGAGCGGTGACGTCTCCAGACTTCAGCAGTGCGATGGAGTACAATGAAAAACTTTTCACATTCTACCACTTTCAGAACAACTTTCACAGACTTTACCACAGTCTGTGACAAACTGCAATTAACTACATCAGTAGCTCCTAAACTAAACATTGACCCACAATCAATGCATTTTCAATGACGGTATTTCAGACTATTTTAGACACCTGTCATTTGTTAGGGTATGAAAACTTATCAGCAGACCCTCAAAGCTTGTTGTAAACTTACAGCCATGATCTGCTTTGTGTAGAGTTTACACTGAATAATCACAGAACCTCTGTCTCTGCACTTAGTTGATCATAATATTCTGTCCGTAGGGAAAAGTGTGATTATGAACATATATCTGTACTTTCCGTGTATTTTATTGTATTGTCTATTTTCAATTATGTCGTACTTTCATGTTTGTTCTTGTCTACCTCGTTTTATATCTGCTGAATTTCTCTGACATGTTTAACTTATGTTCATGTTATATTAAACAGATAGATATAGATATACTGTAGACAGATAGACAGATCCATAGATATAAATAGAGAGACAAACAGACAGACAGATAGATAGATAGATAGATAGATAGATAGATAGATAGATACTTAGACAGACAGACAGACAGATAGATAGATAGACAGATAGATACTTAGATAGATAGATCGATAGATAGACAGATAGACAGACAGACAGATAGATAGATAGATACTTAGATAGATAGACAGACAGACAGATCGATACTTAGAAGGATGGATAGACAGACAGACAGACAGACAGATAGATATATAGATAGATAGATAGATAGGTACTTGATAGATATATAGATAGATAGATAGACAGACAGACAGACAGACAGACAGACAGACAGACAGATAGATACTTAGATGGACGGATAGATAGATAGATAGATAGATAGATAGACAGATAGACAGATTGATAGATAGATAGATAGATAGATAGATAGATAGATAGGTACTTTATTGATTCCGAGGGAAATTTAAAATGACGGAGTCTAACTTTTCACGTCACATGGCTCTTCCTATTTGCTAACGTCACATTTAAAACGTTATTATCACGTGAGAATGACGTACGATACGTTAGTGAATTACACTAACGTGCTAAATAACGTATTGGTCAACTCCTAACAGGCGGCGTCGGATTGCTCAAACGTCATGTTAGCATGTTGCTAACGGGTTAACCGGAGCCGCTCACCTTGGTACGGCTTCATCAGCGAGTGCTCCCGCTTCAGATGCTCCGCGTTCCCGTCCGTGATGTCGCAGCTCACCAGACTCAGCTCCAGAACCAGGAGAACCAGACCCGAGCTCAGAAAACCCCTGAAACTGCCCATGATGCTCGAACCGCCGCGGAGAGAAACTCTCACAACAAACTGCTTCTTCCCAACTCCATCCAGCCGAGCGCGTCCCTCCTCTATTGTCTTCCGGAGGAAAACAACTTCATTCCGGGGTTTGATCACACTTTTTCCTGGAGCAGAAGGGACGTGTGTCTCCCCGGAGCGCTTTTAAAGTCCCACCTGCTCAACGAATAAAATATTGGTCAAATAAAAACAAAACAATCCGCGTTTTTTTATCAACGTTCATAACAGGGAACGGGTTTTACACGCAGCGTGTTTCCACACGGGACACTTTAGCAGAAGGTCGAGTTGTTACCAACCAATCAGACAGAAGCACATCGCAAATTGAGCCAATCAGGGGCGACTTGTCTTTCACGCATCGGCCACTAGATGTCGACACAAGATAAAATAAAAACAGTGGCGATCACAGGGAGCAGACTTTAAGTGTCGCCCCCTGCTGCTCAGTTTATTAAATTAGATTAAACAGAGAAGAAGAAGAAACCCTCTGCAGCTCGTGTTTCATTTCTACATGTATGAAAGATGCTGTATGAACATTAATACAACGGAATAAGAGATGAATAAAAACACGATAGCAAAAAAACTGGACTTAGGATGAATAAAACCATAAATATAGCAAAAGGTATTAAAAAAAACTATCAACAGAAGTTGTCTGATGTGTGTTGGGACTTTGTTCCAAACCTTCGATGCATAGCAACTCAAAGCTGCTTCCCCAAACTTTACATGGATTGTTTTTGGGATACTGATCAAGAAGACCTGAGGGGACGGTTTAAAAGCTTTGGTTCATTTCCTCACAGTGGAACTGTAATACATCAGTATTAGTGCGTATCACATATTGTACGTACTAGAAGTACAACTTGTGTTCTTCAGGAGGCATCTGGACCTGCTCACAAACCAATGGGCGACATCAGGGTGAGCTGCTAAGATGCTGCATAGCGTCGCTCATTGTTAAACCTAAAGTCTGATGAACCAAACAAAGAAATATCATCCAGCTCATTTTTATCTCCACATTCCTGCAGTTGTTCTTCCAGTCACAGCGCACATGGTGACGCACCAGTGAGGTCATGTCAGTGTGTGTCCTCGGAGCCCTGAAGGCATCGATGGAACATGGAAACAGGCCCAGTCAGTATGATGACCTGTCAATTATACTTATTGATTTGGACCCAGAGGATATGAGAGTGGAGTAATAATAATAATTCTGCACACATCCATCGATCGTGCATTAATCCATGCACGTTGAGATCCAGTCAATAACCACAGACTGACCGTCACATGTCCACTCACACTTCTTTGACCCGAGTCGCGTTCCTTTATGCAACACTCAGTAGTTTTAGTTTGCAGCCCTGCCCACCACCCTCCCTGTTACATCATCCTGTTGTTAGTTTTATTCCATCACTAATTCTGAAAGAGCACATGACCTCTTTTTGTCACAGTGGATTTCTTCTTTCAGAGCAAATCTCTCTGTGAGTGACGTGAATCCGGTGTTTGATAATTGCTGCAGATTTAAATCTCATTCAAACACCTACTGTTACCTGCATTCACTGTTCAGTGCAGCTGATAAAACACCACAGACAATAATTACACAGCCCACATGTGTGTTTATAAAAAGACTTAGACCACAGCGAGGGTGAGATAACAAACCTACTCACTGCTGTTTGTGTTGAGGTTGTGTTGTTGAATGTGTATATCGAGGATGGATGAGGGAGAACGAGAACATGGAGGTCTGTAATTTGTATTTTAAAGAGTTTTTAAACCCCTGCTGAAGGATTTTTTTGGCTACATACGTTATTTTTTAAAAACTAAATTAATATTTTCACACAACCGTATTAGTTCGGTATCAGAAATAATACCTCTGCAATCTAACCCACCTGAAGAGGCTCCTCGCCGGCTCACAGTCAGTGACGTCCTTTAAATCACTTCATTCAATCACCCATTTTTATTGACTTCTCTCATGTGATGTTGTGCTATTTTTACTGTTTTTATCGTTTTCTCTTCACTTTATATTTTACTTGCTCATTTATTTTAATTGTCACATTGCTGCTCTGATGTGTTTTAATTCTATATTGATTCATTTGATTTCAACACTAACCACCTAAACATGGTTGTCTGGTCACATCTGCTGATTGTTATTTCTCTTTTATTTACTTTTCTTGCTTTTCTGTCAAACACTTTGTAAACTTTGTTTTTAGAAAGTGCTATATAAATAATATTTATTATTATTACTATTATTATGATTACATACACTGGGCATGCATGTACATGCTTATAATCAGACACAATCAGGAGGCACATGTGGGCGACTTCGTCATTTCCAAATGTTTGCGTTACGTGGGAACTGTGATATGTTTTAAAGCTACACTGTGGACTCATGGGGATGAAGCCTTGGTTTGAAAACTTCAGGTGCCCATGTTCTCTTCATGATTGGTTCTTATCAGTCATGACTCGACAACCAGAGGTGAATGAAAAGCGTTGCTAACACTCACTGCTCTGCTCGTCCTTGCTCACAGGAATAGAAGAACGGGGTTGAAGGAGCCTTTGAAACGGGACAATCAATCTTCAAATGCAGGATTTGGTCTGTGAATAGAGACTCATCTAAATAATCCAGAACATAACAGAAAGAAAATCAACATGTATTTATGTTCTACAAACATGCATCTGTATAACTTACGTCTTTATCAACATCCATTTTGCAATTTAATATTTTCTGATTGCTTAAAAGGAACCAACTCTCAGGTGTGAAACAGCGTCTGCATCATGTTGAGTGTGTTGGATATAGAAGGAGTTCACATCTGTTTTAGTCTAAAGCTTTTTCTTCTTTTTACTGGAAATCATGGAGCTTTGTGTGTTTTATACAGCAACACAAACAAAACCTCCTCACCCGTGACCTTCAGTCGTACATCTTCTTCTGATCGTCTGCATTTATTATTTACCCATGAAAGCAAATTCTTTCTCAATGCTGTATAAAAAGAATCCATCAGCACAGTATCTGCTCCGCTGTAAACACATATTTGATTATAAAAGCAAACATCAACATCGGCAAGTGCATCCATCAAAAAACTCTGACCTTCAGTGGGACCTGAACTCACCGTGGCTGTAATCTGCTGCTGAATGAAAGGACCGAGGACGAGGTGATAACACAACACTGGAGCTAAGCTAGGTCACTGCAGGATGTGCCGCACTCTATTCACTTGCTCTGGATTTGAATTCATCACAGTAAATCAAATATACATGGACACAGACTCCAGCAGTTTTCTTTTGTAGTTTTGTGTCTGTAGTTTGCACAATACACAACCAACACATCTAATGACAGCACTGCACACAACTTTTACTCCACAATGTGCAGCTCTGATATTTCTCCTCTCAGATCCTCAAATCAAATCAAATCATTTATTGTCCCCATGGTGACTTTTGTCTTGCAGCTGCAGATCGGGACACTGTGCAACAAACACAAACAAAGCAACGGTGCACAAGGTACAAATATCATGTAAGTAATAATTAATAGTAATTAAAATTTTCACCTGCTCTAAAACACTAAAAAGAATATAACTCATAAAATATGAAAGGAAACGTAAAAAGCAGACAAAGTGAAAAGGTTATTGAGCTACATGGCCGATCAACATGTTTCCTCCCTGAGTCGTGTGACAGACTCTGGAACATCTACCTGAGGGAAACTGATCCTTTTTCCTTCTCCTTCCACGTTCTCCTCCTCCTCATGCCCCTTTCTCCAGTTTCCCTCGACAGTGGTCGACGGTAGCCTCTGTTCCTCCGTAGAGCGTCGATTACGCCTCTGCTGCAGTGAGATAGTGCTCAATTGATGGCTAACAGCAGCACACATGTAAATTGCAGTGTTACACCATAAAAAGGTCAAACTGTCAGTTATTCAGAAGGAGCCTCCTGACGTCACAAAGGTTTTGTGTGAGTGTTTTTATCTTGTGACTCATTAACAAGCGCTTTATTTAACAGAGTGTGTGCGTTACTGCTTCATAAAAGATATTAATCCAAACACTTCTCCAGTGTATTCAGTTTATTAATTAGGAGGAGAGTCTTTGTTGCATTTAAATATCAATTTAATGATGTTTCTGTTCTGTTAATAAAATACATGGGATCACTGTGGGAAGGACGCTGAAGCTCCTGAGTCTTATCTTTAAAACGAGGGTTGATTCTCCTGAGAGCAGGTTTGGGAGCCGTCATGTCGACCATGTGACGTGTTTCTCTGTGTCTTCGTCTTGAATGTTTAAATTAAACTTAGAGCAAAGAGAGGAAACGTTACAACGTCCCCTCTTATCTCGGATATTGCTCAGGTGTTTTCTCTCTCACACGGAAACAAAGAGAACTTTATTAATCTCCACTACGACTGGAAAGCTACGAGAGTGCAGTGATAAAGAGGAAGCTCTGCGGAGAGGAGACAATGTTGTGCTACTTGGAGAGAGTCGTGCGTTGAAGTGATAGATTGCTCTGTGGTGGGCTGCTGCATCCTGCTGGGCATAATAAATACCCATAAACCCCTCTGTCAGGAGTGCGGAGAATGGGGAGGCCTTAAGCAGAAGGACAAACAAGGACGTGTAACAGTGTCGCCAATGACTGCAAACAATCGAGGAGACATGACGGAGAGGAAGAATGAAGACGAGTAGAGAAAGAGTAAAGAAGAACTACAGTGTAGTTTGAGTTCAGATGTTTTCTCCGTACAAGGTCACAATGAAACGAACAACATCAAAATATTTACCTCATGTGAGAGTCTGACTTGATGTGGAGTCGTCCCGACAACATGTTTCCAGCTTGGTGTGTCTATCACATATTCAAATTTCAGACGACTCCCCCTGCACCGCCGCTCTCTAACCCTCTGCTCCTCGTCTGAGTAGGACAAACCTCAGCGGGGAGAAGGAGGCATGATGAGGTGCAACAGGCTTCATTCTGGGAAACAAGGAAGCAGCGGGAAACCTTGTTTTCAGATGACGAGCGACAAAGAAATAACAGGCGATTAGAGAGAGAGAGAGAGACTTCTGCTGATGACGCTTGATCAACTGTTAGTAGTTAGTCAACTTCTGCAGGAAATAATGTCTTCTCTGTTTGTGTTGAGTGAAATCTGAGGTCGTGCCCTCAGCGGGGAGAAAGTTTGAAAAGCTTTTGAAGGCATCGAAGAACTTTGACAAATCCAGTAAGAAGTTAAACCAACAGCAGATGAACATCCTCGCTCACTCGAACCTCATCAGAC